TTTTATTTGATTCTGGATTTTCGTATTAGAAAAATGCCATTTATACATTTTTAAAAAATCGTATCATCTCAAATATTCAATTATTTAGCGCACTACCGCCTTTTTCTTAAATATCACACAGCCCTACTAGTAATAGCGATGCTTGATGTGCTGTAAAAAAAATAGTAGCTGTATCAGTACAGTTATGCCAGGTTATCTTACACTACATGTCACACAAGGGCCCAAAACTGCGATATGTACCAGGTCCCGAATTCCTCTCATTGATTTTTATTTGTCCTGATCCCCGGCTGGTCCCTTAGCCCCCAGTGAGAGTGACAGGCAGCTGATGGACAGTTCATTTAAACTGAGACAATCACACAATCACTCCAGGCTGTCTCGCTCTCTCCCCGTCTCCCATTCCTTCACTTCTTATGGCTCTTTTCTCTGGCGGCAGACAAAGCTATCGCTGCGAGAGGAGCTGTGCTGATTGCATGCGTGCATTGTGTGCTGCTCCTTTGCTAAACGAGAGCCACGACTGCAGGAACAGGAGCTCTTCTAATAGCAGCTGTCAATTAAACCCCCCTCCCAATAGGCAGTGTAGACGTACAGTATGTATATTCCGAGAGGACGGCGCTAGCTTGACAGCGTGGGCTAAATTGGCATGTGAACTAAAGCAGAAGAAACTAATTAAACAGAGAGATCAAACTAACGGCAGTGTCTTCAACTAATCAAACTCTCCAGCGCTTATTTTCCTCTCTCATTAGACAAAAACAACACAGTGCTGCTAAGGAGAGGAACATCGTGTGAATGCATTGCTTGGCCGGTGGCATGTTGCGCACGGCATGTGTGAACATGTGTTTAACACACACAGTGAGAGACGCAATTGAATAGAAGCACTGGGCGATTGACGACCAAGCTCAAACCACACACACAGATATTCTTATTATTATGAACAGAGGCTCTGGTAACTCATAAACAGATGCAGGAAGAGTTTCCCCAGTAGATGTCAGTATAATCTTCACCTCCTCTAATACTCATGCATGAAAACCCTCACACACACACACACACACAAACAGCTCTTGCAAATAAAAAAGGTAGTGCGGTTGTACTGCGATGCTTTGAAACAGACCGTGTTATTTAAACGGTGCTTCAAAGAGCCGAGTGGTTTCCTAAATTATCCCTTATTATATTTAAATGGTACATTCTTATGGTAATACCATGGTACTTTATTTAGGGGGGAATCTGCATAAACAATCAAATATCAGTGTTATCTGAGCGCAGCTTTGATCTTTCACTGTTAATTGATCGGGAAAACCCATTTCACGTCCGGTTAGATGTTAGTGGGGGACTTCAGCTCGATGTGGGGCTTCAGTAAATGACACTAGTCCTGATAATCATCTCATTTCTTTCTGAACTACATTCAGGGTTCATGCACTTTTTTTACTACTAAAATTCCAGGACTTCTCCGTGATCTCTTTCAAGTAAATTATCTTGTCATAATGTTTCATGCAATGTCTACATATGCGTGGTGAAAGAAAAACAATACATTCATTCATTTTCCTTTCGGCTTATGTAACAGGATTATTTCAAGCATACTGATTTCACTTTATTTTCCTCCTGTTCACTTAAAATTGTGTTGTGTTCACGATATAAATGTAAAAAGAGTCTGTAAAGTGTCTGTGGTTTCACCCCTTCTCCCCCTTTGGGTTAACGTCAAGGTGGTATAGTCCAAGCAGCCATACCTGTTGCACTATTGTTTGAGCGGTCTTTTCCACCTTTACCTTGAACTAAGGAGTGTGCATTTAACGTAATGAGCTAAAGCTGCCGATCTGTCATAATAACATTCTCTGTGCAGACTCAAAATGGTGTCCTCTCGTCATTAACTACACAACGCAGAGCAAAAGAGAGTACGGTTACACTTAGTCCCTTTATTAATCAGGAGTCGCCACAGCGGAATGAACCACCAACTTATCCAGCATATGTTATTCCACTGTGGCGACCCCAGATGAATAAAGGGACTAAGCTGAAGGCAAATGAATAAATAAAACATAATATTATCATAATTTTGTAATGTTATGTAATTATAATTTTATAAAATATCAACCACCCCAATCATTGAGCAGTCCAGCAGTCCAATTAAAAAAAATAAAATAATAATAATTATATATATATATATAAATATATATATATATATATATATATATATATATATATATATATATATATATATATATATATTGTTTAGAAGTAAATCCTGTAAATTTTAAGAAACCTAATTATTCAAAATGTAGAGCTTGCATTGAGATAAAGCGTAGAAAAGAAGATTGACTGACATAAAAAGCCCAGCAAAATTAATAAACATTAAACAAAAGTAGAAAGTGTGCATTTCAGGAGTTGGACAACATGGCTGGAGTTGCTTACGGCCCCCAAATCCCTAAATCCGCCTCTGACCGTGACGCCCAATTTATACATACAGTTGAAGTCAGAATTATTGGCCCCCCTTTTAATTTGTTTTCTTTTTTTAATATTTCCCAAATGATTTTTAACAGAGCAGGGAATATTTCACAGTATAAATGTTTTATCAGAAAGTCTGATTTGTTTTATTTCGGATAGAATAAAAGCAGTTTTTAATTTTTTTTAACACCATTTTAAGGTCAATATTATTAGCTGTTTTTTTCTAATAGTCTACAGAACAAACCATCGCTATACAATAACTTGCCTAATTACCCTGACCTGCCTAGTTAACCTAATTAAACCATTTAAAATGTCACTTTAAACTGTATAGAAGTGTCTTGAAGAATATCTAGTCTAATATTATTTACTGTCATCATGACAAAGAGAAAATAAATCAGCTATTAGAAATTAAAACTATTATGTTTAGAAATGTGCTGAGAAAATCTCCACTCCATAAAGCAAATATTGGGGGAAAAAATAAACATGGGGCGAATATTTCTGCCTTCAACTGTACATCTATGCAAAATTGATTTAGACAATGCACTAATAATGTGAGGGTATGTGATTGGCCAAGGACAGAAACTAAGTTAAGACAACTAACCTATATTCAAGTATACAGGTATCTGTTTTCCATGACTTTTCCTAAATTGTGTGGGCTTTTCTGTTTTTCCAAAACTTTTCCAGGCCTGGAAAATGCCATGTCAAAATTCCATGAGTTTTCCAGGTTTTTCATGACCGTACGAACCCTGTACACTAAAAAATGCTGGGTTATTGTTAACCAATGTTGAGCCAAATATGGACAAATCCACCATTGGGTCATATAGTGTCAATTACTTTAAACATTAACCATGACCAAATGTCAGGGTTGTCCACATTTGAACCAATGTTGGGTTACAACCAGCCAGCATTTTTAGAGTGTCCACTTTGTACACTATATACCATGCCAGAGCATTCATGCAGGCAGCTGTGGTGATATTTTTAATAAGCACTCTAATAATGCTGCGCTGTCGTAACCTAATGTTGATTATACAATATGTGAGTGTATATTGAAAACATCACCATAGTAAGCCTACATGATTATCCTCAGAACGTCCTGGCAAAGTGCTCTCAAAGTTCTGAACACACATTTTTCCAGTGAGGTTTGGTCAAAGGTATGTGGTCTTCATTAACGTTCTTAAAAGGAAAGCACGTAACCATTATGCACACATGGCACAACGGAATGTTTGCTGTCTGAAATGTTATTTGGATGTTCGTCTTATCTTCTTTACGAGGTGAAACTTGTTTTAGAACGTTTTGATATATTTTCAAAGGTTTCCATATTGCTTTAAAACTGTGCACTGGTGTTTTTCATTCATTCATTTTCTAGTCGGCTTAGTCCCTTTATTAATCTGGGGTTGCCACAGCGGAATGAACCGCCAACTTATCCAGCAAGTTTTTACGCAGCGGATGCCCTTCCAGCTCATCTCTGGGAAACATCCACACATACACACACACACTACGGACAATTTAGCCTACCCAATTCACCTGTACCGCATGTCTTTGGACTGTGGGGGAAACCAGAGCACCCGGAGGAAACCCACGTGAACGCAGGGAGAACATGCAAACTCCACACAGAAATGCCAACTGAGCCGAGGTTCGAACCAGCGACCCAGCAACCTTCTTGCTGTGAGCCGACAGCACTACCTACTGCGCCACTGCTTCGCCCTACTGGTGTGTTTCCTTAATCATTTAATTTTCCTTCAGCTTAGTTGCTTTATTCATCAGGGGTCAACACAGCGGAATGAACTGACAACTTATCCAGCATATGTTTTACACAGCAGATGCCCTTCCAACTGCAACCCAGTACTGGGAAACACCCATATACACTTATTCAGACACACTCATACATTATGGCAATTATGGCAATTTAGTTTATTCAATTCACCTATATCCCATGTCTTTGTACTGTGAGGGCACCCGGAGGAAACTGTCCCTACACAGGGAGAACATGCAAACTGACCCAGCCGGGATTTGAAACAGCGACCTTCTTGGTGTAAGGCTAATCACTGAGCCGGCGTGTCACCCGCTGTTTCCTTAATCTGATCGTTGCTAATTAATAATCACCTTCTTGTACTGTAGCTATTGAAAATATCATGGTATATTTGAATATGCAAATCAACAGTGTGTATTTTGGGCACAGCACCATGGTACTACCACATACAATAAATCTGTTGAGTACACGTGAATCGTCCATAAATTGAAGCTACATGCAGTATAATTGGAGTATGATTATGGTAATCACTTAATAGCAATATGTTTATCAGAGCACCATTACACTACACTGTTTAAATCACACGCCGTGTTTTTGGATACGCACCATAGCAAAGCCATTCTAGCTTGTTTGGGAACAGTTTTAGCGCCACAGTACTCTGCCCACAAGTGTTACACACGCTACATTTTCCGCTAAAAGGTTTTTTGGGATTTAGTGTGACACGGATCTGAGGACGCGCTGCATGCGCGCTCACGGCACGTTCGAGCAAAGAGCTCAAATCCCGTTTAATCCTTGCGCGTCGCCGCCGCGTCCGGAGAAAGAATCGAGCCATCGGCGCCTCCGGCAGCAGCAGACGCGCGCGCAGAGCCGCTCAATAACGCGACGCGTACATTTACCTGAACATCACACGCAACCAAATCCACTTTAAGCCCCCGAGATGAACCAGTCTACCCACTATAAAACCCCGAGCTTGATGCACCATAACGCACAGAGTGAGTGATATAGGTGAAGCATTGATGCCTGTAAACTCAAGTGTGTTGATGATGTGGGAATGATGCTGTAAAGGGACCTCCTGCGTCTCCTCCCCTCCCTCCTGCACCCGTACTCCTCATTTCCACTCCTCATTTCGCGCTCAGCAACACGAGAAGAGCTCCGACTGACTGTCCAGCATCATGTCCTCAGACGTCCAGCTGCGCGAGCAAACGGACCCGGAGAGCAGCGACCCCGCGGGCGCCAGGACACAGTGAGAGCAGGTAGGACAAACTCTCCGTCGGCTGCGGGTTATCTAGCTAATACTACACCAGATTCGTGCCATCGCAGAAAAGCGAATGCATTATACACCAACAACCGCCAACAAACGATCGCGCGCCAAACAGCGCACATGCAACACACACACAAGATCCTCACACACATATAAAATGACTGGTCTTCACATGAACCCAAATGCCGCATGAAATGAGGATCGTTGTGAATTGAGATGATGAACTTGACAGTGCATGAAAACTCCAAATGCATCTCTGATATCAGCGTGGTCTCCTTCATAAACCTCTCAACTTTAAGACTTCACTCATCAGAGACCATTTGGCAGAAAAGCACCAGATCTGAGCGCGCAAGCAGAACTGAAACCACGGCTTTACGCGCAATCTTAAGCGCAAATTCTACACGCGCAAACAAACTGGAATTCTTCTGGATATTTTTGGTTTGATCTCCTTGAAATGCATTAGATCACACAACTGAGGTTTAAAAGAAACAGATCTGCATGAATGAATCTCCGTCCGTGTTGTGCGTAAAAGGTTTTGCGCACTGAACTTGAGCGCGACGCGCTAATTATGTAACCAATTCCCGTCAATCTGGTCAAGTTGGTCATCAAATATCTGCTCTAAATAATGTCAAAAGACGAATATTACATGAAGTGTGACACATATACATGCAGACTTTTCCAGTATGAGTTGATTCACCCGACAGACGGACCTTTGCCTCGTGTTCAAGGCGAACAACCACAGACATTTAACATTGAGCGAATCAATCAAACTCACCGAAACGCGCTCAACTCAGGAGAAATGCTCAAATCCTCAAGGTGAAGCCACTTTATGTGCTGGATAGAAGATTTCTCTAATACATTTGCATGAAGTTCAGGTTTATATTTTGGTCGTTCATGTTCACAGTAGCCTAAGCTAAACTGATTAAGGAACGAATCACATAAAAGCACCTGCCTCCAATGATTGGATAAGGATTAACAGTTATTAATCAACAGAGTGTAATCAATAACTCGAGCTGGAAGTTTTCCACAGAAGTCTGGGAAGCTGCTGATTTATTTCCTCTGTTCGTGGTTCAAGACGTGCGCGCGGATCTCATCGATAATCAAAGAGCGTAACGCGGCAGGTGCGCAAAACCTGCTTTTTTAACCTTCGTGTTTAGCAAATATTTCACACCGAGAGTAAACAGATGCACCCCTGACTGCTCATAATTCAGCTATCGATTCTACTTGTGTTCCTAAATGATTGATTATCGGTCGGACACGAGCAGCATATTGATTACTAGCGGAATTGCGGCTGGTTTTGGTTTTTATTGAGTGAGCCTCCGTAACAAGTGCTTGTAATCAGATCCTTCAAAAGTACAAGAGCAAAATTCGCTTTACCTGCTGAAAAGGTATCATTTGCAGACCATTTTAAACACTGAGAGCGAGTTTCTGGAGTTGTTTTTCAAGCTGTTTGCGCGTTCTGCGCCGGGAGCGTGCAAGGAGACACCGGTGACGCGCACAGGAGCACTACAAATTCAGTGTAAAACCTGCTCAGTAGTGTTGTTATTTGCTTTAATCAAAGTATTTTAATGTTTTATTAAATAATCAGTTGATGTAACCCATTAAAAGTGCAATTTAAATTCAATTAAAAAACTAACCCAAGGTTGGGTTACAACAAATCAGCATTTCTTAGTGCATAATTAACATACATAGACTAGTAAAATGATCCAGTGTGTAATTAAACTCATTCATAATTAACATTTACATTTCTAAATAAAAAACATAGAAAATAGGTTGTTTCTACATAATCTGTTGCTATTTTCTTGTACAATATAAAATATATTAATTTACAAAGAAATGACATGACACTTCTATTGCACTTAATCTGACCAGCAGCATTAAAATGCACATTAAATTAACACCTAAGATTTGTGACTTTAAGCTAATCTGTTAATTAAATAAATAAAAAATTCAAGTAAAGTTATAATATGTGTCATGTTAATAATATGCTCCAATACATGACTTAAACTTTACATATACGCATGTTAAAAAAAACAAACACTCTCCTACTGGGAAAACTCACCTGAAATATTGATGACTCATGTTGTGAACAGAATGTCCAATCAAATGCTCAGTAGAATGAGAAAGCTCCTCCCCCTGACGTCATGCATATAGTATATATTCTGCATATATATACAGAGGTCTGTTAGTGTTCACACTTACAGGTTCAGTCCAACTGGAGAAATAAGAGGCTTCAATTGTCAAGTGTTCGGCATGAAATACAGACAAAACAACGTCTAAAAATAGATTATCTGGTGACACTACACATAATTAAAGAATAAATTTAACAAAATCATCTCTGATAGACCAAATGGCATAAACCACAATACAACAGAAGTACAGGCAAACAGATATACAACACTATTAATAATAAAATAACAGTATTACATAAAGCAACATTACATCACAATGTCACAAGTGCAATATATCTATTTTAAGAGTCTTCATTGTTTGGCTGATAGTGGTGTTAAGCTGGTAAAGAATGGATATGATTACTTGTGCTTTGTACACATCAACACCCAATAATACACACAGGCTGCTGTTTAGTGTGTGTACGTGTGTACGTGTGTGTGTGTGTGTGTGTGTGGCCTTTTCACTGAGGTACATTTTGCGTTGTTTCCATATCAGGCTGTCAAAGTGTTTGAGAGAAACACACGCTTGTTCACGCTGACCTGAGTGTGTGTGTGTGTGTATTGTCGTTCACTAATGAGGTCAGGCTTTGTAATATCGCTCTTCTCCTTCAGAAAGTAATTATGCATTTGTGCACATTATAAAATCTGCAAAAGTGATTTTTTTTCTCTCTCTGACAGAAATAACATCTGTCAAAACACATCCGTCCAACTCCAGATATTACTTGCGCAAATGCCTGCCATCATCTGAAAGATTTGCATAACGTCGTCTATTGGCAAGTGCATAGAATGAGGATCAGGTTTCTCAGGGAAGTGCTGCCTTTATGTTAAGGAGTCGCTGTGTTTATAATATTCCAACTAAATGATATGATTATAATATTACAAATGTTTTGCTCAAGTTGTGCTTGTGAATTTGATCAGACTGTCTCTCAGTGCTGAGTGTGCATTATTAACTGGTTATAAAAGGGTTAGAAGGCTTGCAGGCTGAAAGGATTATGATAAGGGATATTGCTGTACATACTCAACACACATTTGAGATGTTTGGCCAATCACAGTGCACTGGGTCAGCTGGCCAATCAGAACACTCTGTGCTTTTGTAGGTGTGGCTTGTAGAAATCTGAAATCGAGCTGCTGCAGTAATGAACACAATGTGAAAAATTCATTATTTTCAACACTAAAACTGCATGAAACTTTTGATCTCATGCATGAAGGTGGCAGTTGCTCTGCTGGCCAATCAGAGCACTCTCTGGGTTCTTGGAAACCAATGATGTTTTACATTTAGATTTTTTTAAACATTAAATCCTGATGACCTATTTTAAGACACGCAATACAGAAAAAAATTAAATACATTTAGAGGCGGGGCTTGAAGAAATCTGAAATTAAGCTGCAGCAATAATGAACAAAAGGTGAATAATAACTCATTTTAAACATTAAAATTGCATGAAATGAATGATAATGCATTTTTGACTTATACCTTAGGTGGCAGTTGCTCAGCTGGCCAATCAGAGCTCTCTCTGGGTTCTTAGGAACCAATGATGTTTTACATTTAGATTTTTTTTTTTAAACATTAACCCCATGATGACCTATTTTACTACACGTAATACAGAAAAAATAGATTTAGGGGCGGGGCTTGAATAAATCTGAAATTAAGCTGCAGCAATAATGAACGAAAGGCGAAAAATAACCAATTTTGAACATTAAAATTGCATGAAATGAATAATAATGCATTTTTGACTTATACCTTAGGTAGCAGCTGGCCAATCAGAGCTCTCTATGGGCTCTTGGGAAGGCGGGGCTTGGAGAAGCCTCAATCAGAGCAAACTATGGTTTTGTTTAAGTTCGGCATTTAATGATTATTAAATTTTTTTAAATCAGATTTTTAAGAATTAAATCATAAAACTAATACTTATACACACAAAAAAATCATTTAATACCAATTAAATTGGCAGCTATGGTAAAGGGCAAAACATCACAGTGCACTGGGCCAGAAGGCCAATCAGAGGACTCTGTGATTTTGGGGGTGGAGCTTGTAGAAATCTGATCCCAAAAGTTTCAAATACACTAGAAATAAAGCCCATCTTGAACATTAAAATATCATGAAATTAATGGAAGTAGTCAGATTAGTAATAGTTATAGAGTCACATTATAGATGTATGCTTGAGTTGTTTGGCTAATTACAATGCCCTGGCTTCTGGCTCTGGATTCTGCTGACATTTTTTTCTATTTCTGTGGAGAATTTTGATAAAAATCTGCATCTGGAATTATTTTTGGAGTATCATACTAAAATCTTAATATATGAAATAATATCTTTTAAAATTTAAATGTTTAAAATGCAAATCCAATTAGATTTACTTTATTTGGTAAACAAATCAAGTCTCATAAAATATCTCAGAAAATATGACTGCACAAACTGCATTGTACATAAATCAGATGAACATGTTCATATTAGTCAATAATACTCCTGAAATTCATTAAAAACTGAATAAATATAGATTTACACACATTTACTCAGGTAAACAAACAGAATCAATGATGGGCTACAAATCTGCAGAATTCTGCGCGCACAGATTCCATGTGGGCCTAGCGATGGCTCACTGACCAATGAGAGCACTCTGGCTTCTTTTGAAGGCGGGGCTTTGGATCAAGAGAAACTCAATGGGCCCTTTTCACAAGATGGTGATGATGCATCAGCATCTTAACTCCTTAAGTTTTTAATATCTTTTTTCATTGTATGTGCATTTATAAAGCTATACTTTGTATTATACAGTCTTTGCATCAAATACCAAAATAAATAAATGAAGTGCTTATGCGTGGTGTAAGTAAT